TCTATCTGTCTGTCTGTCTGTCTGTCTGTCTGTCTGTCTGTCTGTCTGTCTGTCTGTCTGTCTGTCTGTCTGTCTGTCTGTCTGTCTGTCTGTCTGTCTGTCTGTCTGTCTGTCTGTCTGTCTGTCTGTCTGTCTGTCTGTCTGCCTGCCTGCCTGCCTGCCTGCCTGCCTGCCTGCCTGCCTGATGCAAAACATGGTGCAAAACATGGACAATATTTTAAATTCTAAAACTCATGATGCAAAACATGGACAATATTTTCAATAATTCAGGTAAGAATAGTTATATTTCTTTTCGGTATTATACATGAAGATTGAAGGCATTTATATTTAGAACACTATGATTTCATGAATTTAGATTCAGCATGAATGTATATTATCATGAATTTCAGAATTTACCCTGCACTGATCGTCGTTATAGTTAGGTTGAAACTAGAGATCTTTAAATTAAGTGCACGTACTTGCCTCCTGTGTATTCCTTCTCAACATATCACAATTTAGGTCACCAACAATGATCACACATCTTTCCCACGAGTAAGAGCCAAAGAGTACAAAATCATTCGCGAAACATATCACAGGAGGATAGATTTTGAATTTTTAAGCTTGACTTGCATCCATATATAGTTGGTGAAAACCAGAAGGTGAGATTTCCGTAAGTTCTTTCAAGATTTTAATTATTAACGAAGACCAAATATACACGCATGCATACGCCTCCCCGCGGGTAAAGTCAGGTTTCCTTGTTCTATCTACTCTGGATAGTTTGTAACCTTCAATTTCTAACTCAACCAAGATTCTGCAGTAAAAAACATCATAGTCGTTTACCTTGATAGGGAAGCGTAATTGCAAAAAATGATCTCTTTGCTGTATAAATGGCGAAATACGTCTCGACATTACCGAATTTATGCAGTTTTCAAACTCAAAGACACGTTGTGGATCCTCCGGGATGGATATTCGTCCTAAGTTTGCTCACACATCTACATTTCGCGAATCGTATTTTGACCGTGTCAACTCTATGTGGAACGCGTTAGCTCTTGCTAGCTATGCGCACTTCCGAGCGCGTACATCAGTCTTCAAGACTCGTCTGAAGAAGTTATTATTTGCTCGCCTTCAATCCACATTCGATTCAGAAAATATCCATTCATGGTGCTTTATTTATCCCATCTGCATGCAGAAGTCCCAATTTGGATTCAGCTTGTAGCCGCTGATTTTAATACTTATACATAAACAATGATTTAGACTTATGTACAATTGTTCGTACTATAATTTGTTTGCATGCTACTTGTTTTATCAGTTTCTTGTAATTTGGAGACATGTCTTTGTAAGTTACCCCGTGTCCCATGCTTAGTTTCCTGTTGACTCATAATGTCACAAATGTTAAATTTTGTTAACGAATGGCTTTCTATCAATAAACTTTCTTTTAATGTGGATAAGTCAAACTATGATATATTTTCTCTTACGCAAAAGAAACGCCCTAACACACTCAAGATTTTAATAAAGGGAGTTGAAATTAAGAAAAAGAAAAATATTAAGTACTTAGAAGTTATTATTGATAGTAATACCTATAAATCAAATTTGTCCTCACTGGTTACATTACAGAAAAAGGCTATACGTAGTGTAAAGGATGTTGTTTAATTAAAATCTTTTGCGTGGGTTGGAATTAATTAGTCAACTAATTTGCATGCCACCACGGCTTTATATATAGCAGAACTTTTACTTTTAGTTTGCTTTTAATCTCGTGTTAAGCGTGGACATATACCGTATGTATATAGTATTAGATATTGGCTAATCGTTAAAAGGATCTGCGGGGACAGAGGTATGCAGTACGTTGTTATTTTATTTAGTAAATGTTCAGTATGTGGTAGTTTTGTAGTCTTGTGTATATAGATAATGTAGTTTATTCTTTGTATAGTTTTTACGTACTGTCGAAGGGCAACGAAATATAAGATAAAAGATTGGTTAAAATCAAAGCGTACGTTGTCTGCCAACGGTTCAGTAAACCACAGCCGCATCTCAAGTTCGATCCTTTATAGTAAAAACTCTCCCGAACGAACGATGCTATAAGAATATTTATCTGGTCTGATGAACAATGCCGTAAAGTTGTTTATCTGCATGGTCTAATGAACAATACTGTTAGAGTTGGTATTAATATGTCTGACCTTCAAGAGAATACAGATTCACCGCTTCTCGCGGCTAAAAACCCTCGCGATGAAAGGAAAGAAGACATCGTTAGCCATCAAAGCGAACCTGGTCCTAGAATGAGTCAACGTTCAAGGGTACCGACTATTAAGGGAAAAGAATACCAAGATTATCAGTTACAACGGGACTATATGACTGCAGTAAGAGCATGGCGAAAACAAGCAAATAAAGCCGAGGCGGTGTTACTAGACTCTAACGATGTAGAACTTCTACAGCAAGAGCGAACGAAGCTTGATTCCCGTATGGACGATCTTTCAGATGCTCATATTAAATACGTGTCTGAAGTTACCCCAAGCGAACAGTTTAATTTCGATAGTTTGTGTGATACGCATCGACGAATCCTTAGTGATTTGAATAAAAAGATTACCAATTTGAAAGACGATCGGAGTTCCGTTAGTTCAAAGCGGTCACGACGAAGCGGGAAATCTCGAAGGTCGTTTGGAACTACATCTTCAGCTGCCCTACTCAAGACGGAGATGATGGTGAAAGCAGCAAGATTGGAAACGGAACTTAAGTTTCATGAGATTGAAAGAGAAAGATCAGCTGATTTGAAAAGACGTGAAGATGAATTGAAAAAACTTCAGATGATGAAAGAGCTTGCTGCTACGCAAGCCGAGATTGAGGCAGTGGGTCAAGTGGAAAATTGTTCGAACTCTGGTTTAAATATGGAGAACGTGTCGAAGCTCGTAGCGGAGGGAGATTCTCAAGAGCGAGTAGAGCAGTACGTTCAATCCCAACAAGCCCACAACCTGCATAAAGGTCTACTTTCTGTTGATGAGGAAATATCTCAGTCTGTTATTGATCCGAACATTGCAAGTCAGCAAAATTCTGCAGAACAATTGGTCCGGGATCAAAATTTCCATCCTTCTGCGATGTCCAAGGAGGGTATTTCCAAGAATGTCTCTCCCAGGGGCGGTGTTACCCCTAGTGCGGTCAAGGTCTCCACGCACGAAGATCCTATTACAAGGTTGGCGGATCTGCTAACAGAACGACAGGATCATGATAAACTTCCACGACCTCAACCGGAAGTTTTCAGTGGCGATTTTCTCCAGTACCCAATATGGATTAAAGCGTTTGAGACATTTATCGAAAGAAAAACAAAGTTGTCTTCCGAACGGCTGTATTATTTGAGCAAATTTACATCGGGCGAAGCCAAAGAAGCGATTAGTGGTCTCCTGTCACTGGATTCCGAAGAGGCCTACGTAAAGGCTAAGAAGATTTTGACGGACAGGTTTGGTAATGCGTTTCTCGTATCAAACGCCTATAGAAAGAAGATCGAGAATTGGCCGAAGATCCCCCCGAACGACGGTCCAGGTCTGAGGCGATTCTCAGATTTCCTTCAACACTGCAGGACCGCGATGGATAGCATACAGTATCTAAACGTTCTGAACGATCCCGAAGAAAATCGGAAATTTCTCAACAAGCTTCCGACACATCTTGTTAACAGATGGGTTCGCGTAGTGGATCGAAGGATAGCAGATGACCTTAGCGACGACGGTGATGAAGATAGAGCATCACGAGTTGCGTCTGGATCGGGTTACCCCACGTTCGCCGAATTCTGCAAGTTTCTTAAGAAAGAAGCCAGGATCGCTTGCAATCCCGTAACCTTTCAACGCCTTCCCAAGAAGGAGGAACCGAACAAGATACACAAAGCAAAGGTTTTCGCTGTCAATAGCGTCGCGTCACAGACGACGAATGTTCCTGATTCAGAGACAAAGATTATTAAGAAAATAAGTTGCATATTCTGCAAAGAAGCACACGAACTTGATGTATGTGAAAAGTTTCTCAAAATCCCATTGGTCAAGAAGAGAGAAATAATCGTTACTAACCGACTGTGCTGGGGGTGTCTAAGATGGGGCCACATAAACAGTAAATGTCGCAGGAAGAGAGTATGCAGGACTTGTAACGGCTTGCATCCCACTGCTCTTCATGGTGACAAGCGTGAACAGAAGATAAAGGCGAGTCCATCAACGCCAAACGTCGCAGAGTCGGAGAAAGACAAGTCGAACCAGGAGAGAACGATTTCCAATCGAGTTGAAGTCCACAGAACGAGCGTATGTACCCGATCCCTTTGTCATTCACTGATAGTTCCAGTTTGGCTTCATCATCAAATAAACCCGGAACGTAGAGTCATGGTTTACGCCCTTTTGGACGAGCAATCAGATGCCTGTTTTATCAAGGACTCAATATTGAATGTTCTTGAAGTCGACGGTCCAGAAGTACCACTTGAACTTTCCACAGTGCTCTCTCACGAAGTTATCAAGTGTCAGAAAATCACTGGTCTGGTTTGTCGTGGCATCAACGAAACTGTAGAAGTATCCCTACCGAGAACGTATACGAGAAGTCAGATTCCAGCCAGATCAGAGCAGATTCCAAGACCCGAGTCAGCCCGTATGTGGCCGCATCTGGAAAAGATCGCGGAGAAAATAATGCCGTATCGAAGTGATGTAGCAGTTGGCCTTTTGATAGGAACGAGTTGCGTACGAGCGATAAAACCACGAGAGATAATCACCGGAAATGATGATGATCCTTACGCTAAGAGAACAATTTTGGGTTGGGGAATCGTTGGTACGGTCGAACCTGGTGAAAATAAAGATGTTGAGGATAGTCAGGCAATCGTGAATCGAACATTATGCGGGGAAACCCAAGTTGGTAAAGATAGAAAGGTGTGTCATCTGGCTTTCAAGACCCAGACGAAAGAAATCCTTAGCGCAAATCAGGTGAACAAAATGTTCGAGCTGGATTTCAGTGATCGAGAGAAGGGTAAATCACTTTCGTACGAAGATCGTTTATTCATCAAGAAGATTGAGGAGGGAATACACCAACGTGACGACGGTCATTACGAAATGCCTCTACCATTTAAGGACGAGAACATTAAACTTCCAGATAATAGGAAGCAAGCTTTCGCCCGCCTTCAGAAATTGAAACAACGTCTGAAAAAGGACAAGAAATACCACCTGGACTATTCGAAGTTTGTTTCTGATACCATCAATAATGGGTATGCAGAACGAGTTCCTGAAGGAGAGCTGAGTCTCAAAGATGGTCGAGTCTGGTACCTATCGCACCATGGGGTCTATAATAGCAAGAAACCAGATAAGATACGAGTCGTTTTCGACTGCAGTGCTGTGTACGAAGGAGAGTCTCTGAATCGAAACCTACTTCAGGGTCCTGACCTAACCAATAATCTGTTGGGGATATTATGTCGCTTCCGCCAGGATAGTACCGCCCTTATGTGTGATTTGGAAGCTATGTTCCACCAAGTCAAGGTTAATGTGGAAGATCGTAATTTCCTTCGTTTTCTCTGGTGGAAGGATGGCAACTTAGACGCTGAGCCTGTCGAATATCGAATGTCATCGCATCTATTTGGAGCCACCTCATCCCCTAGTTGTGCTAACGTTGGTTTGAGGAAGACTGCTGATGACTATGAGAAGATCTGTGGTACCGAAGCTGCTGATTTTGTAAGAAATAACTTTTACGTTGACGATGGTCTAAAATCCGTTCCTTCACCTAGTGATGCTATTTCTTTGATCGAAAGTACGGAAACCCTTTGCAAGAAAGGAGGATTTCGTCTCCATAAGATTATATCGAACAGTCAGACAGTGATAGACACAATTCCACCCGAAGATCGTGCGAAGGGTATCAAAGACCTGGTTCCAAGTTGTGACGCGCTCCCTATCGAGAGGGCTCTTGGTGTCCAGTGGTGTGTGGAGTCAGACACTTTTCAATTTAGAATTGAATTGTCAGATCGACCGTTGACGAGACGAGGTGTCCTGGCTACAGTCAGCTCGGTGTTTGATTCCTTGGGGGTCCTTTCTCCATTTGTCCTACTTGGAAAGAAAATTCTACAGCAGTTATGCAGGGAAGCTAAGGAGTGGGATGAAAAAGTTCCAGAGTATCTGGTGCCAGGATGGGAAAGATGGCGGAAAGATGTCTGACTTCTAGCACAGTTGAAGATTCCTCGGTGTTACAAACCTGATGGCTTTGGTGAGATCGACGTTGTCGAGTTGCACAACTTTTCTGACGCAAGTGAAGAGGGATATGGTCAGTGTTCATACCTAAGGCTCATTGATCATACTGGTAGAATTTACTGCTCGCTGGTGATGGCAAAGTCTCGTGTCGCGCCATTGAAATCCGTAACTATTCCAAGGCTCGAGTTAACGGCTGCTTTGGTGAGTGCGAAAGTCGGCACTTCACTTCGAAGAGAGTTAGATTACAACGCAATTAACGAAATATTTTGGACGGACAGTAGAGTTGTACTCGGGTACATTTTTAACAATGTGCGACGGTTTCATGTCTTCGTGTCAAACAGAGTGCAGCAGATTCGTGAACTGACTTCAGTTGATCAGTGGAGATATATACCAACGAAGTCCAATCCAGCAGATTTCGCCTCTCGAGGTCTGGATGCCCAACGTCTTCTCGATAAGAGAGAATGGTGGTTTGGTCCGGATTTTCTCTGGTCGAATTTTGATCCTGATTATGGCAGGATTGACGAGGACAATAACATCGCTGCCGTCTGCCCGGACGATCCAGAAGTGAGGAAGTGTTCAGTTATGATAACGAGAACTGAAGAGCATGCTGGTATAGAAGAGCGTTTGAACCGTTTCTCGAGCTGCTTCAAAGCAAAACGAACGATTGCAATTTGCCTTCGATTTAAGGAGATTCTCTTGGCCCGTCTGCGAAAGAGAAAGTTATCTGGAGAACAGTCCAGTGACTCAAGCGAGGAAAGTTCCAGAGTTATCTCTTGTAATCCAGTGAACGTCGATGAACTGAACGAAACTGGAAAAGAAATTATACGAGCTGTACAACGAAAGTCATTTATCAAGGAAACGTTGTTACTTCACCCGAGAAACGTCGAAGAATCGTCTCCGAACGTTGAAAGAGGGAATAAAGAGAGCCATGGGGTCCCGAAATCCAGTTCCTTATTTCGACTTGATCCAATTCTTGCGAAAGATGGAATTATACGAGTCGGTGGACGGATTAGGCGTGCGAATATGCCATTGGACGTTAAGCATCCGTGTATCCTCCCGAAAAAGGGACACGTGACTGAATTGATCATATGTCATTTTCATCAGAAAGTCGCTCATCAGGGACGTGGAATGACCCACAACAGCATTAGGTCTTCCGGATTTTGGATTATTGGTGGTGTTTCGGCAGTTTCCAACCATATTTCCAAATGTGTGAAGTGTAGGAAAGTAAGGAGCGAGTTGCAGAAACAAAGAATGGCCGACTTACCCGAGGATCGTTTGGAGCCTTCTCCACCTTTTACCTACAGTGCAGTTGATTATTTCGGACCCTGGTTGGTCAAAGAGGGACGAAGGAACGTTAAAAGATATGGGGTTTTGTTTACCTGTTTGGTTTCGCGTGCTATTCACCTGGAAACGGCGATTAGTTTGGATACGAGTTCTTTCATGAACGCATACCGTCGTTTTGTTGGCCGGCGAGGACCGATTCGTCAATTGAGGTCTGATCGCAGAACGAACTTTGTTGGATGCAGGACAGAGCTTCAAGCTGCACTAAGTGAAATGAACCAAGAGACTGTGAGGCAGAAACTATTGAAGGAGAACTGTGACTTCATCAAGTTTCAAATGAATGTCCCTCATGCAAGTCATATGGGGGGCAGTTGGGAACGTCAGATCCGAAGTGTGCGGAATGTTTTGTCTGCCCTGCTGGATGCACATGGAGAACAACTGGACGATGAATCTTTGAGAACGTTTATGGTAGAAGCTGAGGCGATCATTAACAGCCGTCCATTATCTTTGAACTTCGCAAGTGAACTTGAACCCCTTACACCGAACCACTTGTTGACAATGAAGAGTAATATTATCCTTCCCCCTCCCGGTGAATTTCAGCGTGCGGATGTCTATTCAAAGAAACGATGGCGTCGTGTACAGTATTTGATCAACGAATTCTGGAGTCGTTGGAAGAAAGAGTTTCTTCAGTCCCTACAAACTCGTCAGAAATGGGTACGACCCCAGAAAAACCTTAAGAAAGGGGATATTGTTGTCGTTAACGATGAAGATTTGCCTCGTAACCAATGGAAACTCGCACGAGTCGCGGAAACATTTCCTTCAGACGATGCCCTGGTTAGAAAGGTTAAGTTGGCGATGGCTGACTCCAAGTTGGATAGCAGAGGAAGAAGAAAGCGACCAATCTCCTACCTCAATCGACCGGTGCACAAGTTGGTTCTACTGCTGTCGAATGAAGAGTTTGAAGACCAGGGATTCCCCGACGAAGGAGCCAATGATGACAACGATAAGTAGAATTTGTTTCAAAGTACATTTAGGTGTTATAAATTTTACATATATAAAACGAACAAAAAATAGTACTTTATGCATGCATTAGTATAATTTAGTTTAATTTAGGTAAATTGTGGAACAATTTAGGGGAGCCATGTAAAGGATGTTGTTTAAAATCTTTTGCGTGGGTTGTAATTAATTAGTCAAACTAATTTGCATGCCACCACGGCTTTATATATAGCAGAACTTTTACTTTTAGTTTGCTTTTAATCTCGTGTTAAGCGTGGACATATACCGTATGTATATAGTATTAGATATTGGCTAATCGTTAAAAGGATCTGCGGGGACAGAGGTATGCAGTACGTTGTTATTTTATTTAGTAAATGTTCAGTATGTGGTAGTTTTGTAGTCTTGTGTATATAGATAATGTAGCTTATTCTTTGTATAGTTTTTACGTACTGTCGAAGGGCAATGAAATATAAGATAAAAGATTGGTTAAAATCAAAGCGTACGTTGTCTGCCAACAGTTCAGTAAACCACAGCCGCATCTTAAGTTCGATCCTTTATACGTAGTATAATAAGCTTTTCTAAATTTGATAAACATAGCTGTCCACTTTTTAAGAGTTTCAACTTATTAAAATTTCTTGATATTCGGTATTTTAATACGGCATTGTTTTCACATAATTTCTATAATGCAAAGCTTCCAAATAGTTTTAATGACTTTTTTAACCCAGTTTGTGAGCAACATAGCCACAATACTCGGTTGACTTCTGGGTCAACACACTCTCTCCTTCTAGTCCGAACAAATTATGGAATTTTCAATCAGATTAGATTCATTGGAATCAAGATTTGGAATAGCTTTGATGAATCTTTAAGACATCTGTCTCTTCCTAATTTCAAAAAGAAATTGAAACGTCAAATAATTAGAGGCTACTGAAATTGTTTGATTCAAAGTTTGATATTTCTTTTGCTCTTTCTTTTCGCTTTTTACATTGGTTTAGAAAAATTGTGTGTATGTGTGTTTTGTGCTTGTCATTTATATTTATTGATAATTTATGTCCATATCTAACTTCTCTAACTCTGCGTCTTCTCTCGTCGTCGTCGCGTCGTCGTCGTCGTCGTCGTCGTCGTCGTCGCCGCCGCAGCCGTCGCCGTCGCTGCTGTCGTTGTCGTGGTCGTTGTCGTTGTCGTTGTTGTTGTCCTGCCTCGTCCCCAAGCGATACGATTTCACATACGAGTCACTATATAAAAGGTTTATATGAAGTAGTGCGTCACATTATAGGCGCGCAAAGGGGAATGGGATATGAGCGTTCTGGTTAGCGCCTGGCCGATCTTGTAATATATATTATATAACTTATAGCTGTCGAACATAAAACAAGTAAACAGCAGATCTAAATATAAAGGCCTTCATGTATATCACCAGAATGAAATAAAGGTATACTTACCTGAATTATTCAAAATATTGTGGATCTTTTGCATCGTGAAAATCAAACATACTTCATGTAAATAAGCTCGTAACTGAAATACTGAGTCGAATCTTGCGAACGCAATACAAAAACAAAAAAAAATTCATCGCTTCCTTGTTTAACTTCCTGTAGCTGTAGATTTTTAAAATAAATTCCTCATTGTGATAAGGACACATTGTCATTTTTCCATACCTTGTAAAGTTATTATATAAACCTTTCTAGAGCCTCGTTGACCTGTTCAAGTGTTGACATCTCGGAATCATTCAAAGGGTCAAATGATATCAAGTATCATCTGACTGTAATCACATGTTTAACTGAACAATTTGAAATGTTATCATTTAAAAAATTGGCGAAAAAAGCCACCAAACTGTCGAAAAACCGCAATTTGCAAGAAAGAGACGAATTTTGCAAGAAACGGCACAAGATCTCCCAGGCGCTCCTCACTTTTCGCTGCCGCAAGCCCATAAACCCCTGCGTTTGTTTTTGTTGCGATGCACTACTTCATATAAACCTTTCATATAGTGACTCGCAAGAATTTTTTTATTAGTGCCTGGGGACAAGGCAAGTTGTTGTCGAAAATTTAAAAAAAAATTGAATATAGACAGCGTTGGTTGAAATGACTTATTCACGTAAAATTAAAGTTGCCATCTAAGGAATCAGTACTATAATTAGTTTGCATACAAAATTCAAGCAAATTTTTGCGTAAAAACAGACTATAACTACAAGTTAGTTTTTCTTCAAAACAGTTTACTCGTTTAAGCGACGCTCGCGAATAAGCGCATGCAGCACTTGGATACGAAAATGCAATCTTTAAAAAGCAGTAAGGATTAGAACTTTTTTCTGCTGTATATCAGAGATTTTATGCTATTCTTTTTGCTAAAATTTCTTTTTTGTATAATTCGTCGTGTTGAATATTTTTTTTACAAAGAGCGCTAGCTTCAAATATATAAGTGCATCGTAAAAATTTAAAGTTCGGTAGGTGTGAGGTGTCAAAATGTACCACAATACAGAAGCAGCCACACTGTATCTGCAACTTAACGCTCAATAAAGCATCTTGTTACTTGACGACATTGATAAGTGCAAAAATGAATTTAGTAACGACTCGTTTATTAATTTAATAAACCAAACATGCCTTACTTAGCCTAGGATTATTTCCGCCATTTTTAACCCTGCATTATTTTAAATTAAAAGAACATTACACATGGCTCTCTATAATTCCTTCACTCTTTAATCAGGAAGTCAGATGTGCGATCAGACCCATAACTACTTACGTGTCAACATAGTCAGTTGGCTGGCAGCCATCGCGGTAAGAATATTCGTGAAAAATTTAAGCCATTAATGATTTTCTCCAAGCGCACAGAGCGTTCCCTCCAGCCCTACAATGGTGTAAGATGTGTGAGACTTCTGTAGTTGCACAAGTATATACCTCCAATTACAGATGTGGCCTCCCAATGTTTTACAGTAGCCTCTTTAATATGGACCCGATTATGTTGTACCAACAATATTTGTAATTCTTGGGATTGGAGTACGATTGTGAGATAAATTATAAAATTATAATAGTCCTTGTATCACTGTTTATAAGCTTGATATTATTGTGAAAACTAGTGCTCTATGAATGCAAATTAAAATAGCGTTTCCAACCCTTGAAACCCAGAATCCAAGTAGATTTAATTTCTATACGACTTGGTAAATCTAAATTCTTAGTTACGGCCTGGCCTGACAATAGACATTTTGAGTAAAAAGGGCTAATTAAAAAGATTTTTATGATTTCGAAATGTCTAGTTGCTTTATATTAAATAGTCAAAGATACATTAACGCGTACATGACACAAAACATGTCACATAAACTTTTAAAATGATCATAATTTCGCCTATACTTTCTGCATTATTATGTCTTTTCATTCACGAGATATTTGATTCCGATTGATACACAAATCACACATCTTTCCAATTGTTCACTACATGCGAGCTATAAATTGAATCTATAGTTAGACACAGGTATATACGGTGCATTATTCGTTCTGTTGTTCGTTTGTTCGGTTAGTCGTTCAGCGAAATTCTTTTTTGCGTACATATTTTAAAGCTCCCAGGGCGTTCCCAGGGCTTTCTAGTTGTGCCCCCGGGAATTGAGAGGAGAGAAAAAGCCCTGGATGATTGCTTCTGGAATATGCTTGGTTACGCTACATTATGCAATTACTGTATTTATCAAATAATTCATCATACACTGTAAAAACTGATTGGTTAAAATGACCAATTTTTTAGGTTGCAACCATTGGCAATTGGTCATTTTGACCAATTGTTTAATTAGTTAGCCGCATTTGACCAATTAAATTTGGTTCCTTTGACTATTACAAATTGGTCGAAAAAATTGGTCATCTTTCGACCAATTAAAATAAGTTATTATAACCAACTTTTTATTGGTCATTTAGTTGAGTGTTCATTGTTAATTGCAAGGAGTTATATCAACTCCACTGAGAATTAAAAATTGGGAGTGAAAATTTTGAAGTTAAATTTAGTCGGCCTACGTCTTCGATATATATGCATTCGAACATATACTCCACTGAGGGTCAATTTAACTCCACTTAAAGGAGTAAAATTATATAACGGAGTAAATTTTACTCACAAACAGAATAACGGAGTAAATTTTACTCATAATCAAAATAACCGAGTAAATTTTACTTCATATTTTTTACTTCACAATTAATCGTATAGTAGGAGAAAAAATATCGAGTAATATTCCGCCCAGTTTTTACTCGGCCTGTGTAATCACGGTTAATAGAACTAGATCTATTAACCGTGGTGTAATATAACTCGACGATTACACATAGGAATCCATAGGAATGAGCGAAACTATATTGAAGTTTCTTCAACCTTGAATCAGGGCGATATTTGCTATACAAATTCGTATAGTGAAAGCCTGCAGTTCGTGTAAAATCATCCGACAAAGCCACAAAATCTAGCTGGTTGACGCGCTTTTTCGTAAATGTTGCCAAGTCAGATTGCTTTCAATATTACCAGTATCGGCTTCTTATTGTTTAATCGCGCGCGACGATCGAGTTTTTCTCGTCAAATTAATTTACTGCATTGCTCTCAGTATATCAGTTGTTTATTTTTGATTTGCTGCGTAAATCTGTAATTTGAACTTGTGGAATGTCCTGCTGCTGAATTCTGCTGAATATAATTTGCGCCAAGTGGAAGTTCCAAAGTTTCCGGCCAATTACCATGCTTAGAATATATCACGTGTTGTAGTAATTCAATCTTTTCACACCAGCGCGCTAAGTTCGATCTTTTGGGAGCAAACATTCAAACAGGAAAGATTTATATTCAAATTTTCTGCTTATAAAGATCGAAAGACTTAATAGAACACAAGGAGATTGTTTTCAAAGGTATGTCTCTTGTGTATTTACTTATTTGTATGCGGGTAGTTAGGCTACTTGACAGACTGTGTAGTTATATTTTTAAACAGAAGGCCTGTATTTTATAGTCGCTTTGTGCCGGTTTTAAGAAGGCATCTAAACGCCTAAACGTTCAGTTGTAAATTTCGATTTACATAACAGTCTCTACTTATCTGTATTGTTAAGAAAATCGTATACGGCTTATTTCTGTGATATAGGCTACATATGTGTTGTTCTGTTAAGTATTTGCTATGTTGACACTTGACATGTATATGCACCAGTCAATGTAAATCCCCGCCTCCCCCCACCCGGGAAAGAGCGGGGAAATGCGGGGACAAACGCCCGATATTACTCTTTTTCATTCCCCGCAATACGGGGAATGCGATCGGTATTGCTTCCTCGCATGCAAGGTCGGGGAGTATAGCGGGGAAATGGCTGTGCGAGATTTATACCATGGGAACAATTCTATTTCCGGTTTCGTCGTTGCATGTGTGTCAACAAGATGGCTTTGGTCGTATTTGAATGTGCTTTTGAGACCTTTTGAGAATCCATAGCATCGCTATGCTGTGCAAAGTATTTTATAGGAATTTGAAGAAGGCGGTGGTTGCTGAAACATTGCAAAGCTTGATATCTAGAGGTAGGTGTATAAAATATGCATAAATAACATGAATATTTCATAATAAAAATTTGCACTTGTGTCATGACGTGACCTTTGGCTTTAATAATAAATAGCATCATTGTAAAGCAAGAATTTGTCGTATGATCGCCTTGATTTTTTATTAAATATTTATTGTCTGTTATTTAAAAGAGGCAATCAAGTCCGTTCTGTGCATACGTTCTGGGCATGTATGGAAAATGGACGGGACCCGACCATTGGAATGTTTATTTAAAACTTGTCTTGGGTTCGATATTTCGCATATTTTCCAACTTTTTTGAACTGAAACTCTATAGTTTTATAATATTCAGTTACAAGCATGGCGAGCCAAAAAATATTAGGAAATCAGTTAGACATATTTTTAACAGAAATATAGAAGTTCAAAATGTAAACAAAGCGTTTGTTTTATTAATACAGACTTGACCGCCCTTTAAATTATGTATATATACATATTTCTTCCCAGGGAAAGTGAAACTAGGAATAAAGCAGGAAAATGTGACTGTGTTTTTGGAGGATGGGACAGAAATTGACGATGATGAAACATTTATTTCTTTGCCAAGTAGTACAATTTTCACTTTTGTACCTGAAGGGAACATTGGAAGCCTGAGGCTGAGACACATTCAAGTGCTCCATCTTTGAATGCACACAGTGGAAGAAATGAGATGCAGCAAAAAGTATCCAAAGGTATTTTTGTAAACTTTTAGAAATTTCTTGTTAATTATTTAGACCTATTTATAAATACTTTTTCTTTCTTGTTATAGCCGACGTGTTTACAACATCACAACGTACAATTACCACAGGTAGTGGAAGTCTGGCATTGGGACCCTGTGTTGAGGTAAGTTAATAGGTTTTGACTAAAGTTATTTACCTATTAAAATTTTCCTCTGTAGAAAATAGACAAATAGATATTAAGTGTGATAATCAATATCGATTTCTTGCGACATTTTGTGTTAATTTTGTAAAGTAGTATTTTCAGAATAAACTTTAAGGTAATGTTATTCCAAATCATGCAGTAGAACGTTGCAAGTGTATATGATGCCTTTTTCAGCATGATTTTCTCTGTGTGTTCATTCTATGGGACTTGCCTAGATTTTTTCTTGCCTTTGGACTGTTTAAATAACGAGCTGAAAAAGTGCAGGAAAATGTGATGCATAACAGATGAATGACGCAAGAAGTAATTGTTTTAATATAAACCAACACCGTAATTTCTGTATTAAGTCCCCCAGGGACATATATTTTTCCAAGCATCATCGGGGGGGGGGGGGTTGATAGAGGGGGCTTAATAAAATGGGGTCATTTTAAATATTTTTAATAAGTCTGGTTATTCATTTTAAATGTCTGTATTCAGAGTTAACATTGTACTATATTTTATTCAGATGCTGCAGAAATACAATATAATTTATGATTTAAAGAATTAATTGCATGGGGGGGGCTGGAAAGGGGTTAAAAGAGAGGGGGGATTTTTTGCTTCCAAAAATGAAAGACGTATTAGATAGGGGGGATTAAAAGGGGGGCTAAATACAGAAACTGCGGTACCACCAATACTTTCATTGAAAGGTGTTAAATTGCATGTATCTGCATGGTATTGAATCAATGTTCAGTGTATCATAGACTTTTTAGTATCTCCGTTGTAAGGGGCTTTTACCAGTGACGTAATAACACTAGTCCTAAATGTTTATAGCCGGAAAGTGACCGTTGGAAAACACTTAAATTCCATAAAGTTCAAATTTTATATAAGATATATTCTTGAAACTTTTTGGAGATTGTTAAGACCAATTGTATTTATATTATAGTTCAACCAGGTTTCAGAGTGGTGTTGTAAGATAATTAACAAAGCGTCACAAATTATATATCAAAATGTTCCAAATCGCACGATAAACACGAATATAACAGTTACATGTACAAACGATGAACAACGGATGAGGAAACAACAGGCAAAGAAGAGTAAATTAATAATTAATTATCCCAAAACAATCAGTCGATTTTGCGCCAAAATATCTAATTAGATTCAAAACCCTTCAAGCGAGACAAGTCCGTCTCTTCCGTCCTTCCTTTCCTTGAGCGTATCATTGCCCATCACTACAAATAGAGATTTTACTTAATTAACAATAGTAATTAATTTAAAACTTTTAGATTCCTGTAAGTAAACCTATCATTAAGGTAAAAGTACAAGTAGACCCCGAAAAACTAAGGAACGATAGCAAAATTTACCAAAATCTTGAATCGGGTTCATTTTTGTACAAGTACCGTTATGCATTGAATGAAGCAGCTTATCAGCTGGCCCTGGATGACCCATCTCTGGTGTACAGAAAAGGAGAATTACAAGAAAAGGCCAAAATGAAAGTGGACACCGAAGGTTATGGATACAAGCGCATAAAGTCAAGAGGTCAAATACTTGATATCGATGAGCCCGGCCAGTGAAGCTTACCCCATCGCTGCGTTCTAAAAGAATAAATGAAATTTCAGAAGATCTGAAGGAAGTAGAATTGGAAATGACCTTGCTGGAAAGGTCAAGGTCAAAAGCACGAAATGTGAACAATGATGACCGGGCAAGACATTTAACCCTGGAGATAACTCCACTTAGAAAACGGAAACGAAGCCTCGAAGAAGAGCTCACTCTCTTGCAAAAGAAAGAGGCCAAGTCAATTCAACAAAAGAAGAAAAAAACCAACCAAAATCCGATTAAACCAAGCAGTACCCCGCTTTGCTCTTCACAACGCACAATTGAAGTCATTTTGAAGAAGAGTAATAACATACAAGTCTCCCAGAAAAACGAATGCGCCGTTGTGGTAGTTTCCGATGAAACAGAAACTGTGACTGGCGGAGATGTCAGAACCGGAAATGAAAAGTCAAACACAACGACATCTAAAAACGGAAAAGCTGAATCCATTGAAAGTCATCACGACGAATCTAGTCAGAGCCTGCATGACGAATCTATCATGGGCGAACACGACGAAACCACCAAGAACCAGCAAAAACCCAATGCTTATCAAGACGTTTCGGAAAATACTCAGCATGATGAATCCTGCAACAGGGAAACTGATTTATCCCTTTCGGATGCGTCCAGTGGTGTTCAGCTTAATGACGCTGTGATGAAGAATCGGCATGATCCATCTACCGATAACCAGGCCGTTTCGCCACAGCCTTGCCAACAAACAAATACTTTTTTATAGATGAGATCGGTAAGTTAGAAGAAGATGAAGTTTACCAGAAATATTTGCTTTATCGTAAGAACTCTTTGAGCGAGAATTTCAGAAAAGAAAATGGAATTTACGTATCACAGATAAGTGACATTTATATGGAACAATTTATATTTTGCAGAACTAAGTTATGTTCCGATAGACATTGCCAAGACTGTAAAGAATGTGCTTTATTAATAAATGTTGCTCGCGATATTTTAAGTTGTGGAGTTTGCGAACTTTCAAAGCTTTATAGAAAACATTTTTCATCTACTTACCGGTCCTCCAATGCAATAAGACGTTTTATGCAGCTCCCAGTTGTTGTGTTTCGTTTAGATGAGAAAAACAAAACCCAGAAGTTGTTTATTGTTGAGAAGCAATGTGGCATTGACTACAGAAAGCTTGTTAATTTAGTTCATAAGTTTACGTTAGAAACAAAGCTTGAAACAGAAGGGATCGCAAAAGAAACTTTACGTAACCTTTGTAAGTTGGCAACAACGGAAGCAGACAGAAAGCTTCTTAAGTTTGCAGTTTGCCAGGCAAGTAAATATTCGAACAAGGAAGCTAGACAGAAGCTTGGCGTTCATAATGTTAGCAAGTTAAAGGCAGAAATAGAAATCGCTGTAGAAGAAGCCGAAAAAATTAGAAAAGAAGTTTCAGATCTTGCTGCAATACGGGAGAAATCTGCCCTTCGATGCCTAGGATTGTACTCGATTGATGAAAGTGATTCAAGTGACAGTGAAAAAGAGGGTGAGACTGATGAATCGGATAGTGACATTGATTGGCAAAGTGAATCGGCAAGTGATACAGAAAGTGACATTAACAACCAAGGGGCTTCAGAAATAGAAAATGCAGTACCATCACTTCCTAAATCGCAAATCGCACCATTTCTTCCTAATCACAACTATTTGCTGGATTTGTTGAGAGAAAGTAGCTTCAATTGGTTTTGCTTTGTTCAAGAATCAAAACTCCTAATGCGGGAGTGCGACAATGAAGTTATTGATCAGGTTCTCATTGATTTTAGTCAGAGCATTCATACACTGGAACTGAATGAGACTGAGAAAGAACGTACTGAAATGTCAAGACAAGCCTATTTGAATAGTGAGAGAGTAGCAGAATTGAACAACACTGGATTTACTGATTCGGAGAGTGACGATCCAGAAGATTGACTAAATTTGAATGTTAAATCACAAAAAGGCAAGCAGATGTTGTTAAAGCAAAGAGCAATTATCAAAAGGATGGCCAAACGGCAGCAAGCTAAAGTGTTTGCTGAAAGATCTCTTCTTAAAAGAAAAGTACCAAGAAGGGTTAGCTCCATTGTGAAAAAGTTTCCTAACATAGGAAAGGATATTGAAGACTTTGTTCGCAACAAGAGATGTGGAGCTGATTCGTGGAGAAGAACGGGTGTGGCAACTTTTGATGGGAACAGAAAACGAGGTCCAAAGGCATCCTTTCGTTCGATTCAAGAATACTTGCAAAATAAGTACAATACTAAGATAGGATATGGCACAATCGTCCAAATGTGTGTTGTTCGCAACAGGCGGAAGTTGTCAGCAAAGCGGTACAAAGGCGAGGCCAAGGTAACATGTCGACAAGCAAGAAAGGGCTTCAATATTAAGTTCAATCCCGATGCACACTACAGCAGTGCCATGTACAAGATACTTGATAAAGTTCAGTTAACTGATGGAAGTGACAAAATTGTTTTAAACAGAGATGACCAAGCTGGGTTTAGACTTGACACTACGTATACACATTAACAACACAAAGTGCTCTTTTCTGGAGAACAAGAGGTCACGACACGCACTGATTTTGTAAATAAATACTCTTCCGTCCTGCAGACGTCGTCGTATCTTTTCATGGAAACTGCCACTAATGAAGAAAGAGCTGCTGGTGTAGTGAAGAGCCATTTTTCCTTTGAAAAAAAAACCGTCGCAACATGCTGCAGATTTCAAGTTTCTGAAAACAACTCCAGAATTTAAAGATTTTTTCTTGGGGAAAAACATTGATTGTATTCGTGTTGATGGTGCCAGTGATGAGAGGCCTTCTGTACTAGAAGTGCAGTTTATCTGGACTGAGTTTCACTTTACAGAAGCGAAAATATGTACATGTGTTACTGCTCGTAACAGCGGTGGAAGTTTTCTGAACAGAGTCGAGTTGGTTAACGGATGCATTGCAAGGGCACACAGTAATGTTTTCATTCCTTCTACTCTTAATGGCTCAAATTTTTCTTCAGATGGGCTGGATGAAGGGAAACTCAAAGAAAATTTAGATGTTGCAACCGATGTGTATCTCGATAAAGTTCAAGATGCCCCTTTTGGAAACACGACCATCAAGTTTTTTAAAGGTTCACAAGATGTAAATGCCAGAAACTTACAGGAAAGAAGACAAAACTTAATTGTTTTTCTGCATGGTTCATCAAAAGCAAAAGATGCGTTGAAACAAGCGAATCCTACTCAGTACCAGTATTTTGAAGAGATATGGCAAGTTCGCAATGACCATTTTGTTAAAGGCTATCCAGACCAGTATGTGCTTTTATTACATGCATGCTTTAAACCTAAATGTATTCATCCAATATGCAAGCAAGGAAAACCTCTTCTGGGACAAAAATGGTATGATTCTGGTCCCACCCTGAGTTGTCTCCCAATGCCGATGAAAGACCCAACGCGCCCATGGGGTGGGAAGTGTGAGGCTTGTAAAGATTTTTGTGCAGGTCACTACATGAAACCGCAAGACTGTATTAAACAAGTACAAGCATTAAACTCCATAAAGGATTGTGTAATGGAACCTCCTTCTGCTGTTCTGAAGAGACATTTTTCTACGATTGTTCAAACCACTGATCCAGAGGATATTAGCGATGATATCATTACACGATGTGCTAAAGAAACATTGCTGACGAAAGATGAAGTAAAACTATGGTTCGCTCATTTGTCTGACGTGACCAAGAGAAGAAAGGCAGGTGCAGTCAAAGCTGCGGCAACGAGAGCAGCAAAGAAAGGTTAGTAGTTTATAGGTTAAAAGTTTTTAACATCCTGGAAGACTGTTCAATATTCTTTGGAGTCAAAGTAGAATATAGTGTACTCCAAAGCAAGTTAAACCTTTTCCACGCCCGGTACCATGACAGAACCATAAATGCTCGTATATTTTGCCAGTAAAATTTTTAATATATTTTTTATTCTTGACATACAGGAAACTTGTTAGAACATGGATGTTGTCCTTGTGGAAAAGCCGACACCGACTATATGATTGGCTGTGATGGTGAAAAATGTACCTTCGGATGGTTTCATTATGAATGTGTGGGGCTGGTTGTTCAAAGCATTCCAGAAGGGAACTGGTTTTGTACTGAATGTAAAAGTACGTAATCTACTACAATTTAAACCTTTGACCAGTTGCATATATTGGTCACACTAGACTCTACCTAACTAGCACCCATTAAAATTTACATCCTTTATCAGGTTAACCATGGATTGTAAAATAACTGGATTGGAAACTTCCTGACGTCACAGCCTAAACCTAGTTGCAATCTGTGACGTCAAAGTTCTCAGCATTTTTGTTGTTTCGCTATATTTTCCGCTTTAAAAGAGTAATATTGAAACATAAACTGGTCTAATTGTTTTAAAAACATGCCTAATCCACGACAAAGTATTCAAGGTAAATGTTTTTCGTCTTTGTTTTGTATTTTTTAACATTTGTAGCTACGAAATTGGCGTCGCCAATTTTGCGATGCATTTTTCGATGAAAATTGCGATGAATTTTTCACTGTTTAGTGCTTGAAATATTTGCTAAAATTGACCGGAAATACTTCGTCGTAGAATGGCGTGGTTATATTTATTTGCTCTTTGACTAAAATGTTTAGCTGCATTATCGCTAAACATGCCGTTTTTGAGAATTTGGTTTGCAACTAGGTTTCAACGCCATCATCCCATTGAAAACATTAGGTCACACCAGCTAGTTTCCCATCCATGTATTTTATTATCCATGGGTTAACTAACTTTCTAAATTTATTTTCCCTCAGATAAGAATGCTCGTGGAAGAAGAAACCAGAAAAAAAAATTATACAAAAGTTAATATATTAAAGATTAAAGTTAAAGTAAAAAATAAATTGCTTCTGAAAGTCTATTTTGTGTAACTCTTTAATACCTTCATGCGACGTGTCACTTTCGGTTTATCTTTCCAGGTGGAGGTCAGTAGTGAAATGGAAGGTTAATTATTATTGACTTCAAAATATTTACATGATTTTAATACCCTAGATTTCTTTACGTTCGTCTTTAATAGAAATAGTTGCACACTTGCGCTATTCCACCATGTGGAAATCGGATATGAAATCTTATGAAAAAAATCACGCAATTGAGACATGTTCTTTTATTATTTGTGTTTGTCATTCGAAAGAGAAGCAAGGAAACTAGGAAGGCCAGGAAGATGCGGGGACAATGGACTTTATTTTGTGCCCCGGGGTCGGGAACAATCGCTTGTTTTTGCAGCGCTTAAAATCCAATTCCCCGCATTTCCCGGGTTGGGGGGGGGGGCGGGGATTTGCATTGACTGGTGCAATACTTTTATAATAATGTGATTTGTTTGAAATATGCATAATTACACTATTGACGAAGGGCCTTCATAAATTTCGAAACGTCGACTCGAGTTGTTTTTTAAGGTTGTATTTTCACATTGGTACTACCCACACTGGTAAAGACAGTTTTAGTATATATTCACATTAATAGCATGTAGACAGCCTTTCCCAATGTATGGCTCTATCAGTCAGCCACTCAACCTAAAACATGTGCAAGGGGCCGCTTATATAAAGGCAAGCCAGTCCAGGTAACTAACCTGATTATAGCCCGCTTTCACTGGATGAATGTCTGTTTACATGAGCCTCTTTAGATGAACATGCTTGCCAAAACAAATCACCCAGACTGAGTTGTATAATTTCCAATAAAATAAATTGACATACTTTTGCAGACAGTTTTGAAATGTAACTTACAAAAAAAATCACAGAGATCTTTTAATCCATTGAGCCACAATGCGCCCCAGTATGCCCTATTTATTTTTTTTGCTTGCTTAACGCCAGACGCTTTTACTCCTCAGTAGGGAAGCTCTGCAGCTTAATTAATGGGTTAACCAAAAAATCTGACAATGTCTCTAGTTAACCCATTGAGCCGCAATGTGCCCTAGTGCAACCTACTTATTTTATTTACTTGTTTACCGCCAGCAGTGGTGTAACTTTACTTTTTTGACCACTTGCCCTCAGGGCAAGTTGGTCATAAAGATTAGTTGTTCTGAATAAAATTCACTTGCCATCAGACAATGGCTGCTTGGGGTACCTAGGTAGGGGGTATAAATTAAGGGAACAACATGTGAACCTGTTCTCCCACTGCGCTATATGGCTTGTTATACTGCCTCAGATATAGCTTTGGTGCACAAAAAACGAAATTTGAACCACGTCCATGCACTATAAAACAAAATATATATCTGACAATGAATAGTGGCAAGGCAACTTGCCCAATCGGGCAGCAAGATAAAGTGTTTACTTGCCCATCATGATATTCACTTGCCCTAGGCAAGTGTTAAGTTACACTTCTGGCCAAATGATTTTACTCGTCAATGGGGAAACTCCAACTCTACAGCTTAATGGATTAATATTCAAATTGATTGGGAAATGTCATTTAGAAGATTACATTATGCCTAAACAAAGCATGAATACTGTGCCAAATCCTGGGTCATTGTATATAGTTTATATGGAAAATCTTAGCTTGGCATTAGCAACATTTTGGGTCAATTGTGGCAGTATCTTAAGTTTATTTATTTAGCTTTGCCAACTAGGTGTCACCACAACAGCATGTGCCAATTACTGTTCGCTCTTTTACATCACCCACCCTGTCAACTTTCCCTGTAGGAGGAAACCGGGGTACCTGGAGAAAAACCATGACTTTCGACAGAGTGTTGACTTTTACTCTTCACATGAGGACTGGGTTTGAGTCGCATTGAGAAAGTTCTCACTTAGGCTTGAACCTGCAGCCTTAGAGGTGAACGGCAAGTGCATATAACAGCTTTGCCACCGAAGCCCCCCATCTTCCTAAAAAAGTCCAGCTCAGTTCTATATTATAAAGTAAAAAACAAGTTGAAATATATAGAATATAATAACAAAGTCTGGATCTCACCAAAACTGGGCCAGCTCAGGTACACAGGTGCCATCACCTCATATAAACAGCCACTAAATCTACCTTGCTGGATTATATAGAATGATATTTTTCAATTAGGAATTTTGGAAAAAAACAGTTGTTATGCACCAGTATTTTAAACAGTCTTTTACCAGTGAGAATAGTTGTATTGGATGCAGATGTTACTTCAATTGCATGCTAGCCTTACATTAAACATGTCAAGTGAAAGCATTTGAATTTTGTATTTCTTGCTTTGTACACTAACCAAAAATAGGAAATTCATTGTCAATCAGTCAATAATTTGCTACCATTATATATCAACCTTAATAATTACGTGTTTTTTTCTTAATAGAGATTGTATTTAATATGGATTCATTATATATCCTGATCCTGAATGAAAAGTTATTAATAAAAGCTTCCCAGCAGAAGGCAAGTTGTCTAAACAAGTAGCAATATATATAATCATTAATGGCATTTTAAGTACTGCATAGTCTATTTGGAAAATGTTATTCTTTTGCTGGAGAGTATGTTTATGGGTTAACAAACCTGACAAGGAATGGAGTAGCTGACTTGTGGTATGAAGCTTGTACTTTTAAATTTTAACTTATGGACTTGTATGACATGCTTGACTGAGCAGTGACACTACATGCAGTACAGGTATATTATACTAACTTGTAAATATTCTACATTGAAGAGAATGTTAACCTTTTATGTGGCAATGGGCTCTACCTTATTATTTTTTCTGTCTAATGCCAGACAATTTTACTCATGAAGGAGAGAGTGTTGCCACTCAATGGGTTAAAGCCAAATTTCTGTAGATGGAAATTTTGAACAATTAACCATGTGATAAGTACTGTGCCGGGAATGGAAGCTGTTGCCCTGTGATTCAGAACAGTTCCTTAACAGCCGAGAGTCCATCAAGCCCTGAAAGTCCAAGCGCCAAAAATCCATCAAGCTAACCAAGAGTTGATTTATACAATACTAGTGTCATCCCAGTTTATTTAATATACTACCAGTGACACCACCATCATGGTATAATTATACAGAAAGTTATTGTTACATCTTGGCAAAAGGACTCTTTAAGTCAGAGGGCTGCAGTAGAATTGCAGGGCTGCAGGTTCAATTCATGCTGGCAGGCTTGTAATTGTATTAAAACTGTCTGTACCAGTACCAGTGTGGATAGTACCAATGTGACATTGCTGTGCTGAGTGGTTATATTACTACCTGAAAAAAAACCCCAGAAACTCAATGTTTTGAGCAAAGACCCTTCACTCGAAATGTTGAGTTTCTGCTTGTTTTTATTTTCAGGTATAGTAATATAACCACTCAGCACAGCAGTTGTAATTGTATTCCTTTGCAATTGCTCTCACATAGTTGTAAGGTACCGGTAGCTCTAGTTTATTTAATTGTCTTATTATATTATATTGATAGATTTTTTAATAAATTCCATGTATACATGTTCAGTGATGTAAGACTCACAGATTTTCTTCATTTTAATGCAGTGTATAGGTTGTGACATTAAATTGGTCGAAATGACCGAAAAAAAATAGTCGAAATGACCAAAAAAAATTGGTCACCTGAATGCATCTGAGAGAACCAATTAAAAATGGTCGTTTTAACCAATAAAATTAACCATTTTATTAATTGGTCAAAACAACCAAAAATATTTGGTTATATTAACCAATTATTATTGGTTGAAATGACCAATTAATTAATGGTTAATTTTATTGGTTAAAACGACCATTTTTAATTGGTTCTCTCAGATGCATCCAGGTGACCAATTTTTTTTGGTCATTTCGACCAATCAGTTTTTACAGTGTACTAATTTAAAAGCGTTGTACCAAACAAGGAGCGCAGTTCACAATAATAAACTAAATTTCGATATGGCAGCAAAAATTACGCCAACTTATCTACGTGAATTTGGGGATGCTTATAAAAAAAATATATAAAATTTTCTGCGCGTAACATTTCTTTTAGCTGCACTAAATTAACCCAAAAATCCGTATAATAATGATCTCTCATAAAGGTTCGATTAATTGCTTTTATAAAATAAACTCCTCGAAGATTGATTCCTAATTTATTTTCTTTTGCGCATGAATTATAATAACGCAATATAAAACTGCCCAAATATAGTGGGCAATTTTGGTTCACGTGGCCGGATCGGACCAGGGCTATCTTAAATTAGAAAGCCCTGGCAACTAGGGTGGAAGACTCCCCCCCCCCTCCCCCTTTGGAAGGCTCCCTTCCACCCTTTGTCTCTCTTTTTACAAAATACAAAAGTTATTAATGGAGTTTTAACTGCACAGTCAATACAAGTGTGATAATTCAAATGAATCTTAAAATTAGGTTTATTTGATGTATAGAGTGTGTAGGTCAGGGGTTCACCTGGAGTAAGCTTATTTTCTTTTCCAATCAGATATGAATAGCAGCTCACTGGATAGCTACGTTAAAACATGTTATGCATTTCATCAAACAGGTTATTTGGTTATGTATTTTCCATCGAGTAAATAAGAATTAAGCCAAATGGCCACTATCTTCGCCTCGGGCATCCTAGTATTCCCGACAGTATTATTGAATCTCTTTGCAACAATAACAATCCTGAAATCCCCTCAACTAAAGAACAAAGTTTGCTATTTCTTAATACTCATTCAGTCCGTTGTCGATTTGGGAGTTGGATCGTTTGGTATACCGTTGACTATCTACTATCTAGTCACTCCATTCGTGGCCTTTCAAAATTGCGCTGTTAGCCTCGGAGCTTTAAAGTTGTGTGTCATACCTTCAGCTGTATCCATATTTATATCGTGTGCCATGACGTTTGAGAGATATATCGGCGTATTACATCCTTATAAGTATACGACATTAGTGACAAAAAAAAGGATTAAAACCTTTATATTTTTCGGCGTTCTTGTATCCATAACTGTGGTTGTCTTGGCATTCTTTTTTGCTAAAGTTATTACAACCTTCTTTGAGTTTACACTCCCCTTTCTTATCATTTCCACCGGTTTTGTTTACACGAGAATATATCTTGTGGTAAGAAGGTTACACCGTTCTGAAACGAGGCCAGCTCTCTATCCAAACGACGAAAATCGAACCAGAAAGAAACTA